ACATTACATATAAACTCACAACACTATGATATTGCACAAAGTATTCCGGTATTTCAACAATTTCCGTTTGACAAAATTAAAATAAGTTCAGTAGGGTAATCGGAATCCAAAGTTCATAAGAAATTGTGGTCTAAACATGGCTCTTCAAAAGTGCTCACGGCTCACTGATACACCCGGTATACATGCATATGCATACAATATTGTATATGAACTTGCGACACTATGATCTCGCATAAAGTATGGTATTCCGGTATTTTAATATTTTTAATCATTTCCGTGTCACAAGATTAAAGTAAGTTCAACGGGGTAATCAGGATCCAAAGTTCGTAAGAATTGATTTAGAAACGGCAGCTTTTCCAAATGTACTCACAGTCCACCCTGTACATAACGTTTTCATGTGCGCAATACCGATGTCTGGGAGGAAACTAGAAAACAATGTCATGAAAATGTAATACATTCGGGAACTTCATCACATTTGGTGTCAAGGATGTTGTACCATAACGCCATTTAATTAAACCGCGAAGCCGCGCGTGGTATTTTTTAACATAATGAAGGACATAGGTCGCGCGAGGCATTTCTGCATGCGTTAATTGAAAAAGTTCTAATTAATAACGCGAGTTAAATAATGCGAAACTATTTTATAAATTCTCTCTTTCTAATGATTTTAATCGTACTTTTTTTTTAAATCGCGGTGTCCCGGCGTTTTACACTTCGGTACACGTCTTTTCCGCCGTCGTATCTCAAGTTGCGGTTCAAGTTGAAGCTCAAATTAAATTTCAAAGTGCAACTTGACGCCCTCCACGCTCGCCGCGCGTACTTTGACAATAAAAGCGCCGTTTCGTTCCGTCTGTTGTTACGCGCTTACTTTCACCGAAGCGTTAACACGATCGATTTATAATCACGTTGGAATTAAAATTATGTCTACTTTGTCGATTATCCGGCTCGCTTTACCAGCCGCGATTAATTGTCGCTGTCGGTTTGTCTAATTAACGAACGCCGGTTCGCGCGTAGCGGCCGACGATATTTTATTACCGCGCTCGCTCGATACTCCTCGCCGTAAATTTTAATTATTGCCGCCATTACGGCGGCCTAACGCGCATCGCGTTTTATCACTCGTCACATCCGCCGTAAAATCAGAAATTCGAGAAAGGAAATCGCAGACTTCTGACATCGGTGTTTGATCGAACTTTGTTAGCCGGCCAGTCTCGGCCATCGCGACTGATGGTCTCTGCTGAAAAAGAAGAGAAAGCTTATCTCGTAATTACTGCGCTATTGGCTCGCGTGCTAAGTTATTGCCAATCGGTTGTTTGTGCGAGCGAGATTATATTGTAACTTGTCTTTCCTCGTAGTTTTAAAGTACTATTGAAACCATTCAACTTTCATTTAAAAAATGTTTCTTGCTTTTGCACTTTTATCAATATTTGCCCCGAAAGAGAAAAACAAATTTTCTTCAAAGGGGTATTTCACCACCTAAAAGTGCGTATGGGCACTTTTATAAAAAAAAATACGTGTCCCTTATTTTGAGCTGAAAAACATATTCAACACTCATCAAAATCTGTGTGTATCCCCACTTGGATAGGTTTGCTCGTTAGCCAGTCAAGAAATCCTCATTTTAAGGGGATGCTGGAGTGATTCT